TCACAACTATCAAACTTACTAATCACAAAAATAAACACATAGAAAAGTATGAAGTGATAAACGCACAGTCCAACTTTTGAAGAAGTTGAACTTCCGGAAATATGTAACAGCAGAACTAGAAATGCAGACAAAGATGACAAAGAGCGATAAAGCCGTTAAAACACTGAATAGAGGATTATCAAACATAAAAACATAAGATATTAGACAAGAGATAAATGCACAGTTCAACAATTATATGTGATGAAATATGGAAATGCGTCTGACATTATTAGAATTGGCTGGTAAGGAGCTATGAGACCATAAATTTATTAATGTTATTTAAGCACGGAAGAAAAAAATGATGACATAAAATAAGTTAACAGACAAATTGAATTGAACGGTGAAATACTGATACATTAAAACAGACAAAACCACAATTGACTTACCAAGATATCAAGGAACGATGAAGCAGCAGTTAAAACACTGGGCATAAGAATACAGAACATAAGGACATATACCAACTACTGAAATAAAGAACGATATCCAATAGCGAGGATAGAAAGACCAAAATGACTTGAAACACAACACATAAGTACCAATTATAAGAAAGTTTATCTGAACGTATATTAATTTTAAGAAAGTCAACTACTGACGATGGTAAGTTTTTGTCAAACAGATTGGCTTAACGTCCAACTACCCGATGTGGGTAGGGTCTAGGGTTCAGAACCATTTTACAATACCTTTTTTCAAATTATTCCCAAATAAAAGTAATGTTTCACTGGAATCTAAAACTGTCAGCGTTGGATCGGATGCTTTAACCACTCGGCCCCCTGCTGAAAATGGTAAAATAACGACACAGCATAAGGACTCAGATACGTGATAACCCATTGACCAACTAATGATGGCGAACTCTAATGGCGCTATTCAACGGCGACCGAAAAACCAGGATTATTAAGAATCATCAAGGAATAAATCATTGAAATACTGAACGTAATAAAGGACAAAATAATATATACCAACTACTGAAGATTAAGAAACACATAAAAAACTTAATTGATATGCCAGGATGATAAGAAATGATCAAGCCACAAGTTACAGCTACAGTTACAAAATTATAGTTATATTCGAACGGTTGTAGGTTGAGACGGAGAGTTGGTTTCCGAGCGGATCGAAGTCACGATAGCTCAAGTGGTAGAGCAGCGGCGTATTTAGCCGAAGGTCGTGCGTTCGAATCCCGCTCGTGACACTGACTTTTTTATCTCAACCAAGACCTTACATAAAAGGAATAATTGATTGAAAGAAGTAACTTGGTCGATTGACTAGTCACACTGGTGAGCTACTGAAAATACCAAAAACAATGTATAAAATATAATAGACATTTTATAACAGAAAAAACCCGCAACTCTATCGCCATGGCATATAAAACGACCAATATAAAATCAGATAAGTAATAAGCACAAAGACCAGTAACTGAAGATAGCGAATCCCCGAAAAATGTTAGTAATGTTATCGGCACAAAGGAGTACAGTGATGAAATAAGATGATGAAGATGAAATAATTCTTAACATAAATAAATGCGACCAACCACAGTATATGGTGGGATATCAAAGCACATAAGTAAAACCACCAAAAGCTACAGTTTATTTAAACATAGAACTTAGAAATGTAGAACATAAGAAAAAATACACGGGCAATAGTAAAATACTAAAACAGGACTGATCGACCAAACTAGAATTGGGAGACTGGGATGATCTAGTTACAAGTTATTACACCAAACGAAAAAATGCATAACTAAGAATATAGAAACATACTGAAGATGGTGAAATATTGGGCAAAAACAGAATTGGTAGACTAGGATATGAGACTTTTCTCAATTTTTTCGTCAACACTAACAATATTTCGGTAAGTAACAAAAGGCAAGTCCCAAAGTTTGCGAATAGGCCGAAAGTGTTATTTTGTTTTAACAACGAACTTATTGAAATTAATGTAGGCCAGAGTGTTCAAAGGCATTCATTGGATATTCAAACAGATCACAGGAGTTGGTGAACATTTTCAAAGGGCAGCCACTCCCCTCGGGCGCTTTGAAGGGCTCGTCCGTAATTAAGATAAACATGATGAGGCAGAGTTTGAAGTAGGCAAGATAAAAGACAAGCCACTTAAGGCCCTTTTCAGATCCAAGACCTCTCCTGAGGGATGCGAAGAGATACAAAATCATCACCCTAATTGAATATATCTAACTATATTCTAATCCACAGGAGAATGGGTGACTACGACGGCTTTAATTAACTCAGCGTGAATTTTTGATTGGTGAGAGTAACAAGTAACCTCGTGGAGTGGAAATTCCTCCTAAACAGCGGAATAATATAAATGTCAGAACCTTTTCTTATCTTCGGTTCTGCGGGGTACTTTTCGATAAACTGAGCAGTAGAAATGAAAAATCTTTCGCATTTATCTCGAATTCGTTTTTTTAACGTCAATCCCGTGCATAAATTCTTAAGCGTCTGCAAAGCGCAAGCTCAAACTTTAGCACGCGTGCGTGCGCACAGACACAGGTAACGAGTTTCCACTTTCCAGTATCAATTTGACACAGTAAAAGTTCGATATGTCGAAATTTAACGAACAGCCACATATCAGAATCAAGTCAAAGCTTAATTCTACGATTACTCTTCGCATCGCAAATTAGCAAAAGCAAAGACAAAAATATATCAATTTTTAAGCCGTATTTCTAATTAAATTATGTGCAGTACCCTTGATAGTCCACAGAATGAATATATAATAATTAATTAATCCATGAATGTTTAGTGGTCATTGACCGTATTAATTATCTAGTCTTAGTCGAGATGAAAAAGTTAGTGTCACGAGCGGGATTCGAACCCACGACCTTCGGGTTCTAATCCCGCTCGTGAAACCAACTTTTTCATCTCAACCAAGAACTTAGAAAAAATGAATAATTAATTGAAATACTAATTAATAATAAAAAATACTATTAAGTTCTAGATTATCGATAAATTAAACGAGAAGATGTTTATTTATGTGAGAACTCATTAAAAAAATGAACCCCCCCCCAAAAAAAAAGAACTAAAAAAATAGTATTATTTTGTGGACAATATTATTTAGCTTTTACCTACTTTAATTATTTATAAGTAATTATAATTATTAATTAGCTTTTGGATAGGTATGCTTATTTGATTATTTGAGTACAATTATTTAACTGGACTGTTCATATTTGATCCTGGATGAATGAGTCTTACAGGGCATTTTATTACTTGGTCTTGATATAATTCCCAAAATTTCGTACGTACTTGAAAAGTTAAGTCCATGATATATTTTTCTAAACAAATACTTTTCAATCAATACTGTCAATTTCCACTGAATACGGTTTTATATTAAACTGGATTATTATATTTTTTGTTAGGTTTTTATTTAAAAAAATATTGCAACATATTGGAAATTCAAAAATGGGATTTTTGTTGTGAGAACTAGGTTCAATTTTTTTTCAAGGTAGTGTAAAAAATATGTTATATTGTTCAAAAATACAATTTACCCTTTATCGAGCCTTATGGTATCATAATTTAATTATAAATATTTAAAAGTTAGTAACAATCCGGAATGAATAAAGCTTACCACCTATGCCTGAATTCCCCGCACATGCTTACTTAAAAAGTTAAGTCCATGATATATTTTTCTAAACAAATAATTTTCAATCGTTAATACCAATTTCCAGTGAATATGTTTTTCTTTTAAATCATGAAATATTATTTATTTGCTCTAGCTTTTCTCAAGAAATATTGCAACAGTAAATTTAAAAAATGGGAGTTTAATTACGTATAAACCAGCTCTTTTTTTTTTAACGAAGTTAGAAAATATATTATAATGTTAAAAAAATTATAAAGGTTTAAGGTATTGTAATTTAATTATAAATATTCAAAAGTTGCTATTAATCCTGGAAGAAAATGACTTACTGCCATTGCCGGAATTCCCCCAACTTGCGTTCTTAAGTGCTTTAAAAGTTGAGTCAGTGAAAAAAAATACTTATCAACAAATACTTCTTACAATATGAAATTGTTAGTAGCATTTTGACTTTTACATTTTGAAAATTTAAAAAAAAATTTTTTTGTTTAGAACTCAATTTTTTCTGATTTTTAAAGTATTAGGATTTGATTTTACTACAAAAAAATTTTGATAACCCTGGTTAAAAATGATAATAATAAAATAGATATCTATTTTTAAACTGGGTTATTAAAAATTTGTGTGTAGTTAAATCAAATCGTCTCTTTTTTTAAATTTTCGAAGTTTAAAAGTCAAAATGCTACTAACTATTTCATATTGTAAAAAGAATTGGTTGATAAATATTTGTTTAAAAAACATATCAGTGACATAACTTTTAAAGCACTGAAGCACGCAAGTTGGGGGAATTCCGGCAAAGGCAGTAAACCATGTTCTTCCAGGATTAATAGCAACTTTTGAATAATTATAATTAAATTACAATACCTTAAAGCTACTCTTGCTATGTGTGCTTGCTGGGATTCCCCAACTTTCGTTAAAAAAAAGAAAAATACAAACTACTTAAAAATGTGCTTTTTCATGGATCTATTATTGTAATCTTTAGTCTTTCGTGCTTGACAATAATTTTTAAAAAATTTTGGGTTTTCCCTTTTTTTTTGGTTGGCGGGAGGAATCAAGTAAATTTTGAAATTAAGAAAAAGTTACTTATTTTTTATGATTTTGTTACTTTTAGATTGTTACGGAAAGTTAGTTTATGGGAAAAATACATAAAATTGCTAAATTTTGTGTTTATGCGAGTTGATCACAAGATGGCATACATGATACTCGCCTATATTTACAAACAGAAACCACTTTTCCTATTTAATTTTAAACAGTCTTGAGAATAGAAAAATATAATAATAATAATACTTCGCAAAAAAAAAAAAAAATGGACAAAGTTGTTTGGGACTTGTATCTGTTTTTTTATTATTTAAAAAAAATCGTGCAAAATAATTTTTTTTTGTCGAAAGACTTACGGACGAAGACTCGTCGCATCCCAGGATGGCGTAGAGGGTCTCCTCGTCTTTTTTAAAGTTGAGAATATCGTCGACGGAAGTCATGTCTAACAGTCTGCGTCTATCTCAGGACTGAGTCGTTCTTGGGGTCTTCCAGGACGGGTTTGCTGGCGAGCACTCTGGGAGTTGGCCGTCCAACTAAAACAACGATCTGCTCCCGACTCGGCGGCCCCTCCTCCCTGGATCTCCGGGACGTTCAGCTAATCGGTGAGAATGAGTTTGCCATTTTATCAGATCGCGTGATAGTAAAAAAACGGTGAACCTTTGACCCAAACGGAGTTCCGCGATGAGGGGCCGCCTTCTCGGTCCTTGGGGGTTTATCGTCTTAGGGGGACACTGCTATTATAAATATGGCATTGTTGACTTACCAAAGCTAAAGAAACTTCAGCTAAACGTAAAGAATAATCGGGACTAGAGTTTAATAAAAAAATAACAAAAGAGATTTGTACATTTAGAAAATAGAATTACGCCACAATTGCAACATACATGCAAACTAAAAGAAAAAATTTTTTTTGTAATATATAATAATAGCCTGTACACTAAGCAATAATGTTCCTTTCAGTAAGGAAAGAAATCAACACGTGGTTGAGACATCCAAAATCAGAGGTTCAAGAATATCTTCTATTATTTTATCAAATTAAAACGTGTAACGTATTCAATATAATTTGGATAATCAATTTAATCAATAAGTTTGCATTGAAACAGGTTACTTTTGCATAAAAAGAAGATTCGGTGACCTGCCTCTCCCTGTTTATAACCCTGACCAACCTCTGAAGGTGGCGAAATGTCTCAATTCACAGGATGATAGGCAGACCGAAAATCAGAAACGATCACACTAAATGTCAATCACTCCGCAGGATATCTCACGATGCTTTATTATTTTCCTTGCCATACTGACCACAGACAATCTCAATGATAAAAAAATCCTTTCAAGACCCTTTAATATTTGGAGTCCTTAACATATCAGAAAGTAGAAAAATAAACTCAAAGTGAGGAATATAAAATAATGTGACGTAAAAAAGGATCTTTTAATAACAAAGGACCTTTCTGCCACAGGACATATAATGTCTGATAAGTTATCTTGGCCCACATGTAAATAAAATTACACCACCACAGCACCCGTGGGAAAATGTGAAATATGAGAGAAAATAAAAGTCCTTTACAGTACGCACTAACGATATTTTCAGAATGAAAATGTAACCTGTCAAAAATTCAAAAGAGCTTAAGACATTCATAGCCGTAGGTGTAAAAGTTCATCATATTTTTTTTTACTAATTAATAGGTGATAATTAGTGACATCATTGGCGTCATTGTTTTTTCTCCTTGATGTCTAAGGTGTGATGAACCTGGAGTTTGGTCGTTGTTGATCATCATGATATGCCTAACCTTTCCGTTTTGGTACTTCAGACGCGTTTCAGCATTGCATAATATTTAAAGGTTGGTTCAAGGTTATAAGCAGAGAGAGAGAGAGAGAGAGAGAGAGAGAGAGAGAGAGAGAGAGAGAGAGAGAGAGAGAGAGNAGAGAGAGAGAGAGGAGAGAGAGAGAGAGAGAGAGAGAGAGAGAGTGAGTGAGAGTGAGAGAGAGTGAGAGAGTGAGAGAGAGAGCTTACATGCTCACTGTATGCAATGATACAGGCGACATACGCATAAATAGAAGTCAGTCTCATGCTGTGTTTATTACCCTAACGACCTCTTTGAAGTTAGCCGATGTCAAAATGGTATCTGACAGACCATCGCAGGGAAGATAATCACTGGTAGATCTGGCTCCATTTTCCTCGGGTTTTATTTTCAGGAGTCACTGCAATTAGCTGTATGGCATCATTGTCACATCAGAAGACAAAAAAGTTAAAAAGTTAAGAACTATTAGTTACAGTAAATAATAAGTACATTAGTACCAAAAAGACTAGACATGATTTCTCTATTGGGGAGATGAACTAGAGATTCTTTTAGTATGGAAATGTAAAGCACAAGAATTTCGCAATTGCTTAAGTCGTCCATGGTCTGAGGTGAAGGAATTAATCCAAATTGTTATTAAGGCTATTGTAACATGAAACTTTATCTATGTTAAGACATAAAGACTTAAACGTTATGACTTATGAGCTTTAGCTTGATCTCATTTTATGTTGGATGTTTTGTATGGGATTTTATATTGGACCTGGACAACCTATTACCCCTAATTTTCTCTGTTAGATGTGTTTTTTCATTTCACTATCTTCAATGGTTGGTCTTCTGTCAAAGTTAATCTATTTTCGCTGTTGCAAATTTATATGTAAAGTTTGCTGTGTAATAAAATATTTTTACCTTATTTTTTATTCAGAATTTAACTATTATGAAAATCAAAAAATAATTGACAATTAATTACCTTTTCCATATGCACTTGCTCCTTGGTGTGTTAACATATAAAGATCACACGATGAGTCGTTTCTGACAGGTTCTTTCTTTGAAGAACACTTTTAAGTGATACTTATTTAAGCATACTACTTGAGATGCTTTCTGCTTTTCAAGTGCGCAACAGCAGAGGTTAAAATAAAAACCCTCAGGGTGCCGCTGTTTTTGAAAAAAAGCCAGTATGTCGGGTTCGAATGCAGGGCCGCTGGATTCGAACCCGGGACCTTTACCTTACAGTGACGAGCGCCGTGTCAAAGACTAAACCTTGCGGCCACCAACGCCCCCCTAGTTGTTAACTTTTATATGTAAATTTGACTCTGAGGATGTCTTGTAGTGCGTCTTTTGTTAGGAAGCGTTATTTAAATTTATTTGCGTTTATTAAAATTTAATAAAGTCTCACCCTCCAGAAACGTATAATTGGCTTTTTTTTTCTAACCTGTCAGAAACAGGCCCTTACTGTGCTTCAATGCGCTAGCCGAAGTACGACTGGACTTCCTACTTAAAAAGTTTTGTCTTCTTTTTGCGTTCGTTGTCATGTTAGGTTTTTCCGTATTTCAATTTGACTTTGAGGTTGAAGTTTTACATCACATTGTGTACAAATTGTTTGTCGCATTTAGAAATTGGTGTAATTTCTTTTTGTTTTAATATTTTTTAAAAAACCGTTTTAATTTTTTAATTTTGGCCTGAGAAGTCTAAGCATGTAATTGACCAAATCTGGTTATCGGTGAGTTTCAATTTTTTCCGTATGCCTATTGACCTATGTACAGGCAGAATTAAGCAAGAACACACGAGCTTTCGTGCGTTTTGTTACTAAAGTGTTAAGTCGCGTTTTTTAATTTTCCCCTCAAATTCTAACTAGGGAAAGTCAGAAAATAAGAGAAAATATGGGCGGTGTGTTGTGTCGCAGTTTAAAAAAACGTTTTTTAACCAAATTTCGAAGATCGTAACTGACTTATGCTTGTTTGTTACACCGACAAACCGACAGACATTCATATGTACAGTAGCATATACGTGCTTTATAAAATATCAATTTTTTATATACTAAGAGCTATCAATAATATTTCTGTTGTCCACAAAACTTTTATCACGGTTATCACAGTTTTAATCATTATTAAAGTTAATTTACAATTTAATTTATATTTATTCTCTTCAAAATACCTTAAAAAAACCTCGATCCATAAATTTCTCCTGACGGTACAAGGAATATTATACTACTCGACTCTTTTATCTAATCATTGTTAATAAAACTATTTTAAGATTAGAGGACACGGGCAAGGTAAAATAGTTGTTGCATAAGTATTTCCCTTTAACTATTTTTCTTAAGGTACGACATTTTTGGTATTTTGTTAAATTTCCTCCTTTCCATTATCAAGTAGGAAATTTCAAAAATGATCTGGACCAGTAGTCCATGCAAAGGATGTCCAATGATTGGCAAATTTTAGATCAAAATCCCACAATTTTCCCGTTAAAATTAGTCACAAATCTGTCTGCAACATGGTAATTTTCCATACAATGTTTTTAATACACAACTAATTTTATTTATCATTTATCTAATCATAAACTTAATATGAATTAAAATGCTTTAATAAATTAAAAATAATAAATTAGTATAGTTACGATCTACAAGGAAACCAGTTTACAGCTTCAAAAAAGAGTAGAATGGCAGGCAAATGAAAAGGGCAAGATCAATTCTCTGCCTAATTGTTTTCTTAGGATTGGGAAATATTTCATTCCTCTCTTTATCAAGGAAAGGAAAATATTTACAGTCAGAACAATTGTGTCAAGATCAAAGGTTTATTAAGGTGATAAATAATTCATTTTCAATTTTAAAAGAGGAGATGAAGTTTGTACATTTTTGAATAACAAATAACGTCAACGCGAAGCCTTATGGGCTGCTTTAGTTGTTTTCTACTGCGATGATAGAATTATGTCTGACATCAAAGATTGTACTGGAAAAACCCTTAATACCCTGTTACGGCTACTGTTTTAAATTTAAAATTTTCTCAGAATTTCTTTTACAAAAGGCATAAACAATTGAGGCAGGTTGCTCAATAGAGACGAGCAGGTAGATAAAATTTTCGAGGTTGAAGTCTAGAAAAAAATCGTATAAACAAGACAATTAAACGATGAAAGAAATAAGTCTTATCTTGAACTTCATTCAAGGTTCATTGTCTATGTTCACATGTTAAAATTTTGCATATGAATTCAAGAAACTAATATAAGTAATTCAAGGGAATGTAATCTAATAGAATGAGAGTATGTGGAAAACGAGAAAGTAAGATGAGGAAGAGAGAGAAGGGGTGAGAGAGAGAGGGAGAGAGAGAGAGAGGGAGAGAGAGAGAGGGAGAGAGAGAAGGGGTGTGAGAGAGAGAAGGGGTGAGAGAGAGAAGGGGTGAGAGTGAGAGAGAAGGGGTGAGAGAGAGAGAAGGGATGAGAGAGAGAAGGGGTGTGAGAGAGAGAGAGAGAGAGAGAGAGAGAGAGAGAGGGAGAGAGAGAGAGAGGGAGAGAGAGAGAGGGAGAGAGAGAAGGGGTGTGAGAGAGAGAAGGGGTGAGAGAGAGAAGGGGTGAGAGTGAGAGAGAAGGGGTGAGAGAGAGAGAAGGGATGAGAGAGAGAAGGGGTGTGAGAGAGAGAGAGAGAGAGAGAGAGAGAGAGAGAGAGGGAGTGAGAGAAGGGGTGTGAGAGAGAAGGGGTGAGAGTGAGAGAGAAAGAGAGAGAGAAGGGGTGAGAGAGAGAGAGAGGGAGAGAGAAGGGGTATGAGAGAGAGAAGGGGTGA